CTTTTGAACATGAACACTCATAGGTAGATGCGCGGGTCCATCCTAACGGGGTTCGCGCGAAAAGCATTTTTAGACAAGACCTCACGACTATGTTCAAGTTCAGCAAATGCGAGAACATTGTCTGGGCGAGGCGGAGTGCATGAACGGAATAGAATCAAGTGTAGTGGTAATTTACTAGTTCCTTCGTCAATTTCCGTCTGTCTTTCATTTATAAGGTACATAGTGGTCGCCCATTAGATGATTCTTACTTGTGTGATGACGATTCAGGAATTTTATTGCGATGAGTCACGTTTTAGACGGATTGGAGTGTGCGGATCGTAGACTGTCATCACTTACACTTGATGATTACCGCAAAGAAGGCGCGGATTGTCTTTTGGTTGGTGAGATTGAAATATTCCCAACTCTACTTTCCTAAGTACGCCATTCACAGGTTGTGGCCGACTTTGACTACACGTTAACTGCTCGTAGGGGAGAAAATGGTGAACCAGGTTGCTTGACACATCAGTGTTTTGATGCGAGTAAACTACTGGAAAAAAACAGTACCATTGAAGAAATGGTCAGTTATATTGAATTTGATCAGTTTCATGATATCGTATACGTTCCTTTGACTGGTTACTTCTATGTCTTTCCCATACCTAAATTCCCTTTGCCGTGCATATTTTAAGCCTTTCTTCTGCTATTTTTTTGCTATTTAGTCATATTTTTCTTTGTTCTCTTAGGTAAATGCAAGAAATTGAAGGTAGAAGAGGTCACTGGGTGAATATTTTCTAAGGTATAAAGTGCTTTTTGACTTCTTTGGTTGGTTTAGATTCATTAAGATACGGCAGAATTTTTCACATGGTTTGATTCATATCTTCGAGTTGAATATAAATTTTTAAATATACCTGCTGCCGTGCACTAACAAACTACAAAATAATAACAAGGTGAACGGGTAAAAGTCAATAAGTCAATGACATTCAAATGTAAAGTTATCTAGCTCTCACCCAGAAGCGGTAATACGTGATACTAATCAGAAAACAGGGGGTGGAAGGCGCAACTAT